AGAAGAGATGATGCCAACCCCTCAGAGGACCTCAGATGATGCCAACCCTGAAACAACATACAGAACTACCACATTTTTGCTATAAGTTTGATTGCATCATATAATAATTGCTGTTAATAGTGTTCATCGTCGGTTTGATTACGTCTTTAATTGATTTTTCCGTACATTTCTGCCATATGTGCATTAACTGACAGTCACCACTGATAAGCTACCACTAAATATTGTAGAAACTTAATTTGCTGTAAAGTTGCTTTGCAATGATTTGTATCATGAAAAGCGCTATACAAATAAACTTGAATTAACGCAATTATATTTGACTATAAAACGATATTTTTATATACTTACAAAATAAGAACATTTACTTAACATAAAATAAAGCCTTTTTTTCATTGTGACATTATTTATGACATTTAGGAACATTTTACACCAATTAAGTTTTAATGCCAAAAAAACTCAAATTTACAGTTTTGACTTACAGTTTTAAAATTATTCTGGATCTCTGTTATAAGACAAAAAACGCTAAAAATAAAAAATATTGTATTGCATTATGTATACATTAAGTATTTAAATGCTTTTGTTTTATAGATTTTTTTAAATTCTATTTTTTATATATATAATTATTTCTAAAAATAATAAACATTAAAAATGCTATATTACAGTAATAAGAATCTAATAAGAATCACTACTGAAAACAATAATTTAAGATTGAATGGTCATAAATTAAATATCTTTGTCAATTTCTTCATTTTTTTTTTCTTGTAGATAATTACCTTTCTTTACATTAACACTATTTGATTATTTAAAATACAATAATACACAATTTCTTTTGAAATTGAAACATGCTTAATTGTCATAAATCACCTAACCAAAACAAAGATGTGATTTAAGTTTTCAAATATTTATACATTATGGTGGTTTTTGTTTTACAATTTAAAATTTATTCTGCATATCGGCAATAAGACACTGTAATGCAAAAAAATTTTAAAAATGTAAAAAAATTATATATATATATATATATATATATATATATATGTGTGTGTGTGTGTGTGTGTGTGTG